TAATTCTGACACATTTTGTAGTGGAAGAATTATTGGAAATGATGAAATTCCTTTTCCATCATCTAATTCGCTAAAATATCAATGATAAAAATAATTACAAAATATTATTGCTTTTGAAATATGCTAAATTATTAAGACATAATTAATTATTAGCCAACTACAGCTTGAACCTCTTTTAATTCTATTTTTTCTAATGCAAAATCGTGCTAATATATTAATGAATGGATATTAATTAGTTTATCAGTTAATTAATATATCACTGCATTCGATGAATATTTATCTAGTCATAAAAACGTAAATTGGTTTAAATGTAAAAGAAATTATTCGAAGTATTTTTATTGATTAACTAAAAAAAATAAATAAATAATAGAATAAAAAAGAGTGTAGAAAGAATGGGATCAATTTAAATAATTCAATTAATTATTCAGGTAATAATAACAATTTGGTTGCTAAACATATGGATAAGCAAACTGATAAGATTGCTAATATATGAAATAAACATGTGACAATTTAATGCATGTAATTAATTTTTTATTATTTTGTTTTCAAAAAATTTCCAAAATACTAAAATATCTGTCCACATTTATCTTTATCTTTTACTTATCTTTCGAAATTATCATTTATCTTTTGCTATTTATTCGCCATTCATCATTTTTCATTTATCGAAATTATCACATTTATGCGAATTTGTAAGTCACTCGAAATTTTTTGTGTAATTTAAAAATTAATAATTGTATAATTTTGAAATCATAAATGTAATTTTCATGCAAAGAAATGAATTGAAATATTGTTTGATTTTTCATCTAGTGGCATTAAAATTTGACAATTTCTGATTTTCGAAAATTATATTTCAATTTGGAATTTTGCAAAAAAATTGAATAATAAAAATTATTTCAATTATTAAAATAGAAGTTTAATTTAAAATGCTCAAACCTTTTTTTCGTTTCAATTGAACCACTATTCAAATTTCAAATTTCAATTAAACTTTGGCTTAATTAAGAATTCCATTCGAAATTTTGCACACAACCCCTTTTTAGATGAAATATAAAATATCCGCTAATTTTATTTAAAACTTTAATTAGTAAAGTAAAATGAATGGGATGGTGAAAAGGAAGGATTGTTAAGTGACCTTGATGTTTTCTAAAACTAACCAAAATTTATTTTAAATTATTGCTACTACTTAATTCTTATTACCATCTTTTAACAATCATAATGCAAATATCTTCCTTCATCCTATTTGTATCTCATCCAAGTAATATGATTTTAATGATGTGACATGTTTGACAAGAGACAATAAATTTACATGTTAATGTTTTATTAGCATGCTATTTTCGTAATATTCTAAAACTCAAATAGTCAAAAAAAAAAAAAAAAAAACTGAAAGATCAAAGAGTCCGAAAAAGAGAGATTTCAAAAGTCGAAATAGTACAAAAAAAAAAAACAGAAAAAATAAGATCATCGTGAATGAAATGAAATATTATTATGAATTTTAAGAGGTTAACAATTGTTTGTCCTCTTTGGAAAGCTTTTTGCATCACATATGATATCCAATCATGTCACCAGTATTATTACTGGTAATTAATCAATATACGAAAAGTTAATTGTTTATGACAATTTGAAAAAGTAAGCAAAGTAGAGAAGAGAGAATTGGTAAATTTTAAATTAAACATATTTCTATTGAATCATTCAATTCACTTCTATTACGCTTTATTAGCTCTTTTTCAAATTTCAATTTTAATTTAAAAATGGCAATGTTGCAAACTTCTTTAATTCTTTTTTTCTTGTCTTTTCTTAAATAAAAGATTCAAAATTATATTTTAAGAAAAATTAACAGATTATGCTAAAATAAATGCTAAACGCCACTTTTTTCTACATTTTTCGCTTTTTTCTTTTTTCTAAATCGGATTTAAAACTTGTCAATTGAAATTATTAATTACTTTGTTTTAAAAGTTTAAAAATGTTTCGCTTTTCAAAATTTGGTTTTATAACTGGTAGTAATAAAACTGAAAAAAAAGTATTTTTGTATGACCAATAGTAAATTTGTATTCAAAGAAATAACTGGTTACTATTTACAAATTAAAAGTCTGCTTTTATCGCTTTCTTTTTTTTCTTAAACAACGTCAAATGTGAAATTTACTTTTTTTAATGATGTTAGATAGTTTTATAGCAAACAGCAATGATTTCAATGTTAATCGGAAAGAATATACACAAATATTTTGTATTGTATGCCATTAACACAATTTTTGCACAAAATTCAAGTATTGCTAACAATTAATTTGGCAATTTGACTTAAAACACTTTGATTCGTTTAGGTGCATTTCCAAACCAAGTGAGACCTTTTTTTCAGTATCTTTTAATTTCAAAAAAATTTTTTATGCAGCTTTTTCCTAATTATTATGTTTAGTATTAATTAGCTGTTATCTCACTTCGCAATACATAATATAGCTTGGTATAAGATCATTTCAAAACACCTTCTTCATTTCTAAATCAAAAACTCATTTTGCACTCATAAAAAACTTTCATTTGTTTACTTATTTATTTTTTTTAAAGTCTTGGGGTTTTTTTTAAACAAATTTTTTTCCAAAAAAATGATTGCAAGGCAAGGAAGCGAAGAAAAATTAAAGAAATGAAATTTCAGATTTATATTAAGTCGAAATAATTAATGATGGTAATAATTAATCTTTATGCAAGAAATGATTAAATTAATATTTTTTATGCTAACACTTTTTCCTCTTTTCTTCCTTCAGATACATATGAATTAATTATAAGAATTATTTTTCTGAGTTAATTAGGAACGGATGAAAAATTTCTTTTAATTATCACGTTACTTCTAATTACAATTACTTTGCTTTTCGTCCTTTTTTGTTTTAAATTTCTTTAATATTTTAAACAAATATTTTTAATGCATATAAATTAATTATAGGAGTCGTTTTTTCTGAGTTAATTAAGAACTAACGAAAAATTCCTTTTAATTGTCATATCGCTTCTGTTTACAATCACTTTGTTTTTTCACCCATTTCATTTCAAATTTCTTTTGATATATTAAAGTTTTTTTAATTTCAATTATTTCATTTTTATTTTTCATTCAAATTTTATTTTATTATTGCGTTTTCGCAATTTACTTTCCATTTGCATTTCAATCATTCAATTTTTTAGCATTTAAGAATGTTGTTTTAGACAAATTTGATGATAGAATTGCAAACATTGTAAATTATTTTAGTTATTTCCTTTTTTATTCTATTAGCTTTTGAATACGAAATATTCCGGCAGCATAATTTTCCGGAAACGAGTCAATATACGACTAACTGGAAACATTCTTATCCTAATTTCTTTCAATTACATTCATTTCTCCCATTTATTGACAGCCTTGTAAATGTTCCGGATACAAAATATTCCGAGAAATGTTTTGAAAAGCAAAAACAGCAATGATTAACAACTTATAAGAAAAAGCAACTTAATCGTATCGAGCAATTGCTCCCTATACTGTATGTTTACTGTAAGCCGGAGGTGCTGCATGATACTGTATGCTTGAAAAAACTCAAATATTCTCAAATTTCACGGTATTTAATGTAACTTAAAATGTTTCAATTTTACGTTAAATAGATCCCTAAAATGTGAAACAAGTAAGTTTATGCTAAATTGTATTTGCAAGAAGCCTGTATTCTTTTTTTAATGATGCAATTCTATGATTTGTTTTATAACTGTTTTTTTCTCCTGGAACTTTCTAAGACATGAAATTTCGTTGTTTTGAAAAATGTATGCATAAAATGCGAATTGGGAAATTAACTTAAACACGTGAATTTAAAATTTACTTAAGCATGTAACTTGAAAAATTATTTAAACGCTTGAATACAGCGATTCATGACGCAAATCACGTAATTTTTTTCGTTTTTTTTTAAATTTTATGATTTGTATTTTTGAAGTTAATAAATCCGTTCAAATTTGATGTTTTCATTTCTCATTTCAATATTTAACGATATATACTAAAATAATTTAAAATTAAAAAAATGATAGAAAGCACTTTGAACATGGAAATGTAATTATATTCAAATGAAAAACTGATAAAAATTTTTGTAAAAATTAATTTCTATAATTTAATCAATCACTTTTTTACAAATCAACTGGTTTTGGAGAATTGATTTTGGTGCAATTTCCTCAATCTTTCACTTTAGAAACATTAATAGATCCATCATATTCTCATCTTTGTTATCATAACTATTTCGATTGTAATTTTAATGATGATGATGATGATAATAATAATAATAGTGGTAATTATGACATCAACGATGATAGTAGTATTTATAGTGAAGGTCAGTTTCTATGAATATTACAATTTATGATAATTATAATATTGGAATGAGTTAACCTTCGTAAGTTCACACAAAAGAGAAAAAAAGGAAGAAATTTGTATGAAAAACTTCATCAAGATGAGGCAAATATGCAAAGTTCAATTAAATTTATAAGTATTAGCGCTAATTGGTGTTTTCCATCCATTTTTCTTCTTTAAAGTTATAATTTCAAATATTAGGAAGGAAATTTTACAAAATAATTCAATAATTGAAAGTATTTCAATTAAATACTTTGGAAGTTTGAAATTTTTTGCTATGTAAATATTTGCCAACTATGAAAATCAAAACTTTTCCTAATTAAGCAAAGTTTTTTTTTGATGGAATCTTTGTTCTGTTATTTTAAATTTAATAATAAGTAGAAATTAAGGAATTTGATAATAAAGGAGAAGAATGTATGAAAATGATGAAAACACGGGTAAAGATAGCTGATTTGAGTATTGATAGATGATATGATATCACTATTATCGATAAGACATTGATAACTATGAAACGAACAAAGAAATCACCCAAACATTTTCCCAAAACCTTATTATTTTTTTTCTACGCTTTTAAGTTCTAATTTTTTGATCGTTTAATTTGTGGCATTTCACTGACCATCTTCACTGTTAATCAAATATGAATATGATTGTTATCACATCTATCATAATTCCCATGTTTGCTGATGTTGACGATGGTGATAATGATAGTGATAATGATAATGGCGGTGGCGGTGATGATGATGTGAGTCCTAATGGTGCTAATCACAGCGATGATAATGATGATAGAGATTTTGATGTTGATATTGTTGGCAATATGATGGTGATGGTAGTGGTGATAGTAATGCCGACGAAGATAATCATAGCGATGATGATGATGATGATGATGATATTAATGATAGCATTTTAATGAAGGTCGGCTCATTTCTAACATCGTAATCATCATGATAAATATTACATTCCATCTCAAATGATTGTGGTAATTTTTGATTTCAAACAATCTCACATCATATTTTTTTTTACCCGTTCAATTTCTCGTTCCATTTTCATTCAAGGTTATTATCGCAAGCAACCGTCATTTCTTAATAGAATAAAAAAAAGTTTTCAGATTTTGCGTTATCTTATTAAAAGAAAAAAAAAGTTACCACAAATTACCAACATTTATCAGTGAACTCATTGTTATATCATCACTCTATTATCATTTAATATCATTTCTCACTATTTTTTCCATCAGCAATCCTGTCTTCATCTTTTTCTTTGCCCGAAAGTCATTTAAACTTCCTCATTTGTAAACAATAGAAGGTTAATATTAATTTTAAATAAACAAATCAATTAATTATTAATTGAAATTCAAACCAACTTTCAGCAGTCTTTTTTTCGATGTTTTTCTTAAAATATCCATTTCATTAATAAAATGAATTTTCTCGTTTCCTCTCATTTTCTTTTTTCTCTTCTTTTCCTCATTTCATTCCTTTTTTTCTTCAATTTAAATTTAATTTATCTTTCGATGCATTCATATATAAAAAACAAAAAAACTCTCGCAAAAATGTTTAAAATATGTTTGTTTAATCAAATTTTAACTTATTTATTAATTTTAAAGAATAAATTGCAAGATTTTATAACGGAGACAAAAAGTTGAACATTGAAATTCAAAACTTCAACAAATTTAAACAAATTTTTGTTGAAAATTTATACAACTTAGTCTTTTTTATATTGTCGTCCCTTTTTTTTTACAAATTGTAAAATTATTAGTTTAATTGTGATGCATTAATTAGCCAGTAATAACCATTAATTATCACATGCATTAGTTAAAAGCAAATCTTTGTATATTATTTGTTTTTCGTAATTTATTCCCATCAAATGAAGTAACTGAAGAGCAATTTGAAAATTTCAATAAAGATCATTTTATTCCAAAATTTGGTGTGAAGTTTTTTGTTTTCATTTTTACTTATTTAATTTTATTTGTTAATAATTACTAATTGATGATTAGTAATTTATAACTAACGATTACTAATTTACTTTACTTTAGTTGTTAATGATTACTAATTGGCGATTAGTAATTTAGAATTAATGATTACTAATTTACTTTATTTTATTTGTTAATGGTTACTAATTGATAGTACTATTCAAAAAGCAAAATGAAAGTTCTTCAATAATTTTTAGCAAAGCTAAAAAAACTTTGATAAAATTAATTCAAAAATTCTCAAATGAAAACTGCAAAATTTACGAAGTAAAAGTAAACTTTTATTGTTTTTTGAGATGAAAATGCAAATTTTTACCACCACTGATACTACTCGCCTCGTTATCACTAATCAATTCCTTATCACTCATCATGCCAGAAATCTTGAAACTTTTCATATGTCAAAATATTATGCACAATTTTAAGAATGTTCCCTCTTTTAAAGTTATCGTTATTTGCAGGTTATTTGAAATAGTAACAAGAATAATGGATTAATTTAATCATCTAATTTTTAAACAAAATCAGATGTTTTGTTTCAATGATAGCTAATGATAAAACTTTTTTATCACTAGTTATTAGCCCTTCAATACAGTTATTTATCATGTAAGGACTTTAAAAAAAAAAAAAAGAAGGTAAAAAAAGTAAGCTATGAACGTATTTGATCCATTATCAGAATGCAATCAAACTGGTAATATCAATTAGAAATACATAACATTATTGAAGGGTACAGTAATACAGATTAAAATTTGTATACAACGGTTGATAAACTAATTAAAATACCACAACTGTGTTATGCAAAAATAAATGACAAACAAATGACAATAATGATAATTTTATGAATCAAAAAATTAGATAGTTGAATAAAATCGAATTATGGCAGTGAAATTTAAATGAAATAGAATAAGGTTTAATAGGAAATGGAATTATTAAAGTTTTTCTGCTGTTCGTTATCCTCCTTTTTCTTTTTATTTTTATAAGCTTTTTGAATGTCAATATTAATGATATCAGTTAATTAACAGTGATAAGTAAATGATTGGCATAAATGGATGCAATTGTGATAACTTATTGTATGAGTAATTACTGATAATTCTTCTTCTTCGTCTTCTGTAACATTCATAGATCATGAATGAAATGAAATTTAAAAAATAAAAAGAAAAAAGAGGAAAAAAATAATTATTCTTTCTTTCGGCTTAAATTACCTGGCAAATTAGTTAGTTGGGTAAAAAGTGACAAGTCACCTAAATTTTCCTAATCAATTAACAATTTTCATCCTTTCATCAAGTCAAAATCACAACACACATAGACAGACACACAGACACACACACACACACACACACACACATAGACAGACACACACTGACACACAAATATTTAATTACTGTTCATTTTGTCGAAGCAATTTGTGTAATTTCCGTATCTTCATCAACAAAATTTTGCATCAATTTTGGTTTTTTTTCTTATTAAAATTAATTACATTTCCTTTCATCTCTATCTCTTCCCCCTCTTCCTTGCTTTGTTTTTTTCTTTCTCTCTCTCCCACATTTTAATTTTTTTTTTTTGTATTTATTTTCCGTTTCATAATTTATTTTCTTTTTATTCTTTCATTTTTTATTCGATTTAAAATTTTTACCTCTTATTAAAACTAATCACATTCCCTCTCGTCTTTATCATAGGATATTACACAAAACAAGGAATTTTTACTACTTCTTTTTCAACAGATATAGTGAGACATCAAACATTAATACTAATTAGGGATTCTTCACCTTTATTTGCAAATTAATTAAATGTCAATTTTTTTTATTTCTTTTGTTAGGATGAAATAATTTATGCCAAAAAATTGGCTGATGAGAAATTTGCTAACCCACTGAAATATTTGGCTAGAAATATTTAGCCAGTAAAAATTTTATTAATCCTCTTAGATGATAGGTAGCTCGCGGGATTTGTTAACAAAAAATTTTTACTAATTCTCTTAGGCAATGATAGCTGAATTTGTCATTAGTCCTCTTACGGATAATGGTAAATTGCGGGATTTTAAAAACAAGAATTTCATTATTCCTCTGAGACAATAATAAATCGCAGGATTTTATTTCTTTCAAATTTCATTTGTATGTTTATTCAAATATGTACCAATGGACAAGCAAAAAAAGTGAAAAAATAAAGTGAGTTTTGGTAACAAACACCACAATGGTATAAGTATGCCAAGCTTTCGGAATATTTCCCGGTATTTCCTGTTTCCTTCCTCTTTTCTTCCAACTTTACTTTTAAACTATAAAATTCTCTTATCTTCTCTTTTCTTTTCTTAGGCTAAAAAAGAAGAATAATGAAGGAATCATATTATAAATGGAAATATTTGGTTAATAAATTCATTCGTCTGCAACAATAGATTAACTAATTTTTAGCCAAAATTAGTCAGATAATTAGCAAAAATGAATTACATCATTCCTAAAATTATATTATCAGTTCTAATGAAAGGATTGTACTATCAGGTTTTACTGAATGGATTATATTATCAGGTTTTAATGAAAAGATTATATTGTCAAGTTTCAGTGACAAGATTATATTAACAGGTTCCAATGAAAAGGTTGTGTATTATCAGGTTTTAATGAAAAGGTTGTGTATTATCAGGTTTTAATGAAATGATTATATTGTTAGGTTTTAATGACAAGATTATATTACCAGATTTTAATGAAAACATTATACTACCAGGTTTTAGTGTACCAATTTCTTCTCTCCAATCATTTTTATCAGTTTATCATTAGAATAACTTTTTGCTTCTCTTTTTTTACTTTTCTTTTCTCATTTTCTTAATCTTTTTATCCATAAATGAGCAAAATGATCAAATCAGTAATAATGATTCAAAATTATTCCCTTTCATCCGATTATTTTATTTCCAATTTTCCTGTAAAACATTTTTTGAAAAGAAAATTTTTTATTGTTTTCTTTTCATCAAAAAAGTACATAAATTTTTTTCTCTTCTCTTTAATCAATTATCAATTTCCCACTTAATTGATTATAAATTTGCATAATTTCCAATTCATTGAAATCTGCTTCAATTTCCACATAATTGTTTTTCATTTTTTTCAAACACAATGTAAACTAATTGAAATAATTTTGTTCTACGATTTCATAATTTTAATACTACAAATAATCATAATATTCATGCCAATTAACGGTATAATTATATACTGAAATTATGAATGTTTATCTTATCAAAGTACAACATATGCAAATTATTTACTTACCTGAAAGATAGCAGAAAGAGAAATTTATAAGTTTGATAATTATTGTAGCTTTTGTCTTAATTTCTAAATTTTTTGAAGAAAATAAAAAAAATTTTCATCGATATTTTTGTAAATTTTACAAAGATTGAAATTAATTCTTTTATAAAGTAATTCAAGATGATAGTAAGAGAAATCATAATTGAATGATTTAAAGTAAAATTATATTAACTTTAATTAAAAGCAAGAAGCAGTAATAATTGAAAAAAAATGATAAACACATTAAATGATCATGAAATGACGATTTGATCGATAAGATCAAAATTAATTTTAATTAATTATAGGATGAATGATTTCAATAAAAACGACAGTTTTTCTTTTTTTTTTCATTCTTTGACCAAATATTGACACAAATTTTGCACACATTGGAATTAATTGGCCATTTAATTAGTTAGTAATTAATCAATCATATTAAGGAATCAATTAGCCATATAAAAATAATCAGTAATATTGGAGTAAATTAAACTTTAGTCATTTTAATAATCATATCTAATAGTATGGAATGCTCTAAAAAAAAGACAAAAAAATTGATTGACTAATTGATCCAATTTCATCCAATTAAAATATTGGTCAGTGGTGATTTTTTGAATGAGTCCATTTCAACTAATTACATTCTTCCCTGAATTTTGAATCAAAAATAATAGTAAAAGAAATTAAAATTAATTAGCTCAAAATAAAAAGTTTTTGCAAAGAAAAAGAGGTTATCATTGATAATAATAATACCAACACTAATAATGATATTGATAATAATGATCGGTTAACGCTTTCATTTGTTAACATTTTTTCTTAATCACTTCATCTGATCTTTTCCCGTGCCATTATTTTAATATTCGTAGTAAATTTGATTAAATTTTCCATTTTTCCTTTTTTTGGTAAATTAATGCATATCATTTTATCAATTTGTTCATCACTGATAATTGCGATAACAATAATAATACCAATTATAATAATTATAATAGTAATAATAACAATAACGAATAATAATAATACCAATAATAATAGTAATAATAATAATAATAATGACAATAATAATAATAATAATAATAACAATAGTAACAATAATAATAATAATAATAATAATAATA